AACTCCACCAGTGTTCATATGTGGGCATATTATTTGTGCCAAGTTTGGTCCAGATCCATCACTGTTTGTCTCCACAGTGCTCTCTGGATGTAGGTGAACTACATCTCCCAAACTTAAGGTCAATGCTCACCAAAACCTTCCAGTATTTTCTGTTGGTCATGAGAGTTCTGTGTGCCAAGACTGGTTCAATGCCATCATTGGTGGACTTCAGAATACTCTTTGGATGTAGGTGAACTATAAATCCCAGTAGTTACAACTCCCGAATGTCAAGGTCTATTTTCCCCAAACTCCACCAGTGTCCACATTTGGGCATATTGAGTATCCATACCAAGTTTGGTCCAGATCTGTGAATCCACAGTGCTCTCTGGATAGGTGAACTACAACTCCCAAACTCAAGGTCAATGCCCACCAAACTCTTCCAGTATTTTCTTTTGGTCATGGAAGTTCTGTGTGCCAAGTTTGGTTCATTAGTGGAGTTCAGAATACTCTTTGATTGTAGGTGAACTATAAATCCCAACAACTACAACACCCAAATGACAAAATCAAGCCCCCCAACCCCACTAGTATTCAAATGTGGGTGTATGGGGTGCTGCAAACCACTTTATGTTTTTAATGCCTTCTTAGTTTAACCAGCTTTAAGGAATAGTGGGAGTTGCAGTTCCAAACACCTGGATGGCCAAAGTTTGCCCATTCCTCGTCTAAACTCTATGATTCTTTGGATTCTTTCTCAACCCAGTTGGAAGAGCCAAAGTATGGAACCACTGGCCACGAGAGGGCACCCACTTCCTACTGACCAGGGCATTTGTCCAGTTTTGGTGGAGGAAAAAGAAAGGAAGAAGGCTGAGACTTGATAGGAGAACTATTTTAAAATACTCAGCGAATTTATATAAATTCATCATCTAATTCTAGGATTGTAGGCTTCTATGAATCAGAGGCTGAGAGGCCATCTGTTGGGAGGGCTTTGATTGTGCTTTTCCTGCCTGACAGAATAAAGGGGGTTGTACTGTATGGTCCTTGCAGTTCCTTCTGATTCTAGGATTTTACACTTCTATGAATCAGTGGCTGGATGGCTATCTGCCGGGAAGGCTTGGATGGTGTCTTCTGTTCTTGGCAGAAGGGGGCTGGACTGGATGACCTTTAGGGAGTCCCTTCCAACTCTAGGAATGTAGGCTTCTATGAATCATAAGCTGGCCATCTGTTGAGTAGGCTTGGATAGGTTCCTTGCTTGTCAGAAGGGGGCTGGACTGGATGATCTTTGGGAGTCCCTTCCAACTCTAGAATTGTAGGCTTCTATGAATCAGTGACTTGATGACCATCTGTTGGGAGAGCTTGGGTGATGTCACCCTTGCTTGGCAGAAGGGGGCTGGACTGGATGGCCTTTGGGGATCCCTTCCAACTCTAGAATTGTAGGCTTCTATGAATCAGTGACTTGATGACCATCTGTTGGGAGAGCTTGGGTGTCATCCTTGCTTGTCAAAAGGTGGACTTGATGACCTTTGAGTGTCCAACTCTAGGATCGTAGGCTTCTATGAATCAGTGCTTGGATGACCATCTGTTGGGAGGGCTTGGATGTTGTCTTCCTTGCTTGGGAGAAGGGGGCTGGACTGGTTGGCCTTTGGGGATCCCTTCCAACTCTAGGATTGCAGGCTTCTATGAATCAGAAGCTGGATGGCCATCTTTTGGGAGGGCTTGGGTGGTGTCTTCCTTGCTTGGCTGAAGGGGGCTGGACTGGATCACCTTTGGGGGTCCCATCCAATTCTAGAATTGTAGGCTTCTATGAATCAGAAGCTGGATGGCCATCTGTTGAGTGGGCTTGGATAGTGTCTTCCTTCCTTGTCAAAAGGGGCTGGACTGGATGACCTTTGGGGGTCCCTTACAACTCTAGGATTGTAGGCTTCTATGAATCAGTGACTGGATGACCATCTGTTGGGAGGGCTTGGATGTGTCTTCCTTACTTGTCAGAAGGGGGCTGGACTGAATGACCTTTGAGTGTCCAACTCTAGGATCGTAGGCTTCTATGAATCAGTGACTGGATGACCATCTGTTGGGAGGGCTTGGGTGGTGTCTTCCTTGCTTGGCAGAAGGGGGCTGGACTGGATGACCTTCCAACTCTAGGATCGTAGGCTTCTATGAATCAGTGACTGGATGACCATCTGTTGGGAGGGCTTGGGTGGTGTCTTCCTTGCTTGTCAGAAGGGGGCTGGACTGGATGACCTTTGGAGATCCCTTCCAACTCTAGGATTGTAGGCTTCTATGAATCAGTGACTGGATGACCATCTGTTGGGGGAGCTTGGGTGGTGTCGTCCTTGCTTGTCAGAAGGGGGCTGGACTGGATGACCTTTGGAGATCCCTTCCAACTCTAGGATTGTAGGCTTCTATGAATCAGTGACTGGATGACCATCTGTTGGGGGAGCTTGGGTGGTGTCGTCCTTGCTTGTCAGAAGGGGGCTGGACTGGATGACCTTTGGTGGTCCCTTCCAACTGTAGAATTGTAGGCTTCTATGAATCAGTGACTGGATGATCATCTGTTGAGTGGGTTTGGATAGTGTCTTCCTTGCTTGTCAGAAGGGGGCTGGACTGGATGGTCTTTGGGGGTCCCTTCCAACTCTAGAATTGTAGGCTTCTATGAATCAGAAGCTGGATGGCTATCTGTTGAGTGGGCTTGGATAGTGTCTTCCTTGCTTATCAGAAGGGAGCTGGATGACCTTTGGGGTCCCTTCCAACTCTAGAATTGTAGACTTGTATGAATCAGTGACTTGATGACCATCTGTTGGGAGGGCTTGGATGTTGTCTTCCTTGCTTGGGAGAAGGGGGCTGAACTGAATGACCTTTGGGGGTCCCTTCCAACTCTAGGATTGTAGGCTTCTATGAATCAGTGACTGGATGACCATCTGTTGGGAGGGCTTGGGTGGTGTCTTCCTTGCTTGGCAGAAGGGGGCTGGACTGAATGACCTTTGAGTGTCCAACTCTAGGATCGTAGGCTTCTATGTATCAGTGACTGGATGACCATCTGTTGAGTGGGCTTGGATGTTGTCGTCCTTGCTTGGGAGAAGCGGGGTGGACTGAATGACCTTTGGGGTTCCCTTCCAACTCTAGGACTGTAGGCTTCTATGAATCTATTGGGAGGGCTTGGGTGGTGTCTTCCTTGCTTGGGAGAAGGGGGCTGGACTGAATGACCTTTGGGGGTCCCTTCCAACTAGGATTGTAGGCTTCTATGAATCAGTGACTGGGTGACCATCTGTTGGGAGAGCTTGGGTGATGTCATCATTGCTTGTCAGAAGGGGGCAGGACTGAATGACCTTTGAGTGTCCAACTCTAGGATCGTAGGCTTCTATGTATCAGTGACTGGATGACCATCTGTTGGGGGAGCTTGGGTGGTGTCGTCCTTGCTTGTCAGAAGGGGGCTGGACTGGATGACCTTTGGTGGTCCCTTCCAACTGTAGAATTGTAGGCTTCTATGAATCAGTGACTGGATGATCATCTGTTGAGTGGGTTTGGATAGTGTCTTCCTTGCTTGTCAGAAGGGGGCTGGACTGGATGACCTTTGGGGGTCCCTTCCATGATTCTATGCCTTCCTTCCCATCTCAGCTACGTACCCCAACCCCCTTTTCCTTCTCGTTCCATTTGCAGTGACATCACCGAGGAAGACTTGGAGGAGGCCGGCGTGAGGGACCCCGGTCACAAGCGTCTCCTCCTGGAAAACCTGCGTCTCCTGAAGTGATCAATATGGAAAGAAGGTCTTGGCGTTCCCCAGATGTGCCTTTCCACTTGCAATGTTGGGTCCATTCCTTCCCTCGAGCCCACCGCTGGACCCTCGATACCCCCAACCTCCACTGCAGCCCAATCTCAGACGATGGCCTCCTAGCCTTGGAAGGGGACCCATGAGCCATCCAGTCTGACCCTTTCTTCTGACTGTTTGCGGGCTCATATTGGGACAGAAAGGACATTTCAAAAGCATTTCAAAAAGGCATCTTGATATCCCAAGTGGTCTGGACGGTTCCTTTTGGGGACAACCCAGATTCAGCATTTCAGAAGACCACCCCCTTTTCCTCACCCCTATCTCCTCCTCTTTTTCAGGCTGCCGGTTAAGTTATTCGTATTTATTGCCACCTCCATCTCTCTCTTGGCTCCAAAGACCCTCCTGAACTTTATTTCCCTACTTTTTGAGGGGTCCTCCTTGCATTTATATGCCCCCTCGGGCCTCTTGGTAGCCGTATCCAAGGTCCCACCTGCCCTCTTTTCATAGGGTCCTGAGAAGCCATTTTTCAGGGTCTGAATCCCCCAAATGTCGTAATGCTTGGGGCCAAAAGGTCTTTGTGGTATGGAAAGGGCAAAGCACTCTTGTTGCAATGACCTTCTATTTCTCCTTCCAAGGTTGCAATGACCTTCTATTTCTCCTTCCAAGCTTGCCATGACCTTCTCTTGCTCCTTCCAAGCTTGAAAAACGACCTTCTATTTCACCTTCCAAGCTTGCAACGACCTTCTATTGCTCTTACCAAGGTTGCAAGGATCTTCTATTTCTCCTTCCAAGGCTGCAATGAATTGTTCCTTCCAAGGTTGCAATGGTCTTCTATTGCTCCTTCCAAGGTTGCAATGACTGTCTATTGCTCCTTTCAGTCTTGCAATGACCATCTCTTGCTTCATCCAAGTTTGCAATGACCTTCTGTTGCGCCTTCCAAGCTTGCAATGACCTTCTGTTTCTCCTTCCAAGCTTGCCATGACCTTCTCTTGCTCCTTCCAAGCTTGAAAAACGATCTTCTATTTCACCTTCCAAGCTTGCAATGACCTTCTATTGCTCTTACCAAGGTTGCAAGGATCTTCTATTTCTCCTTCCAAGGCTGGAATGAATTGCTCCTTCCAAGGCTGCAATGGTCTTCTATTGTTCCTTCCAAGGTTGCAGTGGTCTTCTATTGCTCCTTCCAAGGTTGCGATGACCTTCTGTTGCTCCCTCCAAGGTTGTAACGACCTTCTGTTGCTCTCTCCAAAGTTGCAGTGGCTTGCAATGACCATCTCTTGCTTCTTCCAAGCTTGCAATGACCTTCTATTGCTCCTTCCAAGGTTGTAACGACCTTCTATTGCTCCCTCCAAGGTTGCAATGGCCTTCTGTTGCTCCTTACAAGCTTGCAATGACTGTCTATTGCTCCTCCAGGCTTGCAATGAGCATCTCTTGCTTCTTCCAAGCTTGCAACGACCTTCTATTGCTCCTTCCAAGCTTGCACTGACCATCTATTGGAACTTCCAAGCTTGTAATGACCTTCTATTGCTCATTCCAAGGTTGCCATGACCTTCTATTGCTCCTTTCAAGCTTGAAAACGACCTTCTATTTTACCTTCCAAGCTTGCAACAACCTTCTATTTCTTTTACCAAGGTTGCAAGGATCTTCTATTTCTCCTTCCAAGGCTGCAATGAATTGTTCCTTCCAAGGTTGCAATGTTCTTCTATTGCTCCTTCCAAGGTTGCAGTGGTCTTCTATTGCTCCTTCCAAGGTTGCAACGACCTTCTATTGCTCTCTCCAAGGTTGCAGTGGCCTGATGTTGCTCCTCCCAAGCTTCAATGACTGTCTATTGCTCCTTTCAGGCTTGCAATGACCATCTCTTGCTTCATCCAAGCTTGCAATGACCTTCTATTGCTCCTTCCAAGCTTGCAGTGACCATCTATTGAAACTTCCAAGCTTGTAATGACCTTCTATTTCTCCTTCTAAGGTTGCCATGACCTTCTCTTGCTCCTTCCAAGCTTGAAAACRACCTTCTATTTCACCTTCCAAGCTTGCAACGAYCTTCTATTGCTCTTACCAAGGTTGCAAGGATCTTCTATTTCTCCTTCCAAGGCTGCAATGAATTGTTCCTTCCAAGGTTGCAATGGTCTTCTATTGTTCCTTCCAAGGTTGCAATGACCTTCTATTGCTCCTTCCAAGCTTGCAGTGACCATCTATTGGAACTTTCAAGCTTGCAGTGACCTTCTATTGCTCCTTCCAAGGTTGCAATGACCTTCTACTGCTCCTTCCAAGGTAGCAAGGATCTTCTATTGTTCCTTCTAAGGTTACAATAACCATCTATTGTTCCTTCCAAGCTTGCAATGACATTCTATTTCTCTTCCCAAGATTTCAACAACCTTCTATTGCTCATTCCAAGCTTGCTCTGACCACCTGTTGCAACTTTCATGCTCGCAATGACCTTCCATTGCGCCTTCCAAGGTTGCAAAGGCCTTCTGTTGCTCCTTAAAAGCTTGCAATGACTGTCTATTGCTCCTCCAGGCTTGCAATGACCTTCTCTTGCTCCTTCCAAGCTTGCTCTGACCATCTATTGCAACTTCAAGCTTGCAATGGTCTTCTATTGTGCCTTCCAAGGTTGCAGTGACCTTCTATTGCTCCTTCCAAGGTAGCAAGGATCTTCTGTGGTTCCTTCTAAGGTTGCAATGACCTTCTCTTGCTCCTTCCAAGCTTGCAATGACATTCTATTTCTCTTTCCAATGTTTCAACAACCTGCTGTTGCTCCTTCCAAGCTTGCTCTGTCCATCTATTGCAACTTCCAAGCTTGCAATGACCTTCTCTTGCTCCTTACAAGCTTGCTCTGGCCATCTATTGCAACTTAATGCTTGCAATGGTCTTCTATTGTACCTTCCAAGGTTGCAATGACCTTCTATTGCTCCTTCCAAGGTAGCAAGGATCTTCTATTCTTCCTTCTAAGGTTGAAATGACCTTCTGTTTCTCCTTCCAAGCTTGCAATGACCTTCTATTTCTCTTACCAAGCTTGCAATGACCTTCTATTTCTCTTACCAAGGTTGCAATGACCTTCTATTGCTCCTTCCAAGCTTGCCATGACCTTTAACTGCTCCAGCAACAAACCCCATCATCCTCAGCCCATATGTCCATAGGGATGTTGGGTGTCACGATACATCCATGACCGGCAGCCACTTCCTTGCATTGTCTCCAAAGGTGAAAAGGGGTGCATTTTTGGAAAGTCTTGGGAACAAGGCAGGAAAGCTGGACCTCCATCTCCAGGACTTTGGCCAGAGAATGGTGATGTGGACAAGGATGACCTTCTTGGACTTGGTGTTTTTCATGCCTTTGCCCCCCAAACAGGGAAACAAGAACCCAACGAGGCCTTTTTGTGGGGAATGTTGTGCCCCAGAAACCAACATCAGTGCCTTTCTTTTAGTGTCTAATCCTGACCAGTCTCCTGCCCCTGCAATCCTCAGGAATCCAGACCATTTTGGCCTTCAATCCAACCCCCAGAGAGTTAGAGGGCAGCCCCATAAGTGACTATCCCCTGTCCCCTAAAAGTGTGAACGTGGCAAAACAATGCAGGAAATTGTCTGGATTTGGAATTCGTTTCCTGCATCTTTCCAGTGTAGTTTCCCAACCAGGTGGTATTGCATCTCCCAGCAGACCTGTTAGGGAATGATGGAAACTGTAGTCCAATGGAGTCTTGGAGGGTCTTGTGATCCCCATGCGCGTATGATGGGGAGGGCTTCTGCTTGACCCGAGGAAGGGATGAGGGGGGTTGTAGTCCATTCCTGTAAACTGGGTAAGCGACAGGACACGCCAGACAATTCAGACTACAAACCCCATCTTCCCCAGTCAATGAGGACATCCTGGCTGCTGTCACTTCCTCACTCTGAGCAGCCCAGCCTCCCAATATGGTGGACTACAAACCCCATCATCCTCAGCCAGGCTGTTAATGATACTTCTGGAAGATCTTTGTAGTCCAGCTTGCCTGGAGACTGGTTTGCTTGGAAAAGGAAAGGGATGAAACTCCAGACGTGTTGGGACTACAAACCCCATCATCCTCAGTCAAAATGTCCATAGGGATGATGTCCATAGGTAACTTACTGCTGTCACTTCCTCCCTCTAGACAGTCCAGCCTCCCGATATGGTGGACCACAAACCCCATCACCCTGAGCCAGATTATACGTCCAGATGGGCTTGGTAGTCCAACTTACCTGGAGACTGGGAAAGGATGGTCCTCCAAACAAGTTGGACTACAAACCCCATTGCCCTTAGCCAGGCCGTTAATACGTCCAGATGGGCATTGTAGTCCAACTTGGCTGGAGACTGGGAAAGGATGGTCCTCCAAACAATTTGGACTACAAACCCCATTGCCCTTAGCCAGGCTGTTAATACGTCCAGATGGGCATTGTAGTCCAACTTGGCTGGAGACTGCAAAGGGATGGACCCCCACACAAGTTGGGACTACAAACCCCATCATCCTCAGCCAGTAGGGATGATGTCCGTAGGCAACTTCCTCCCTCTGGGCAGCCTATCCTCCAGATATGTTAGACTACAATCCCCATCATCCTCAGCCAGCATATCCATAAAGGATGATCGGTGTTGTGATACATATGGATGGTGACCAGCTTTGGGAAGAATTTTGATGCCTATTGCCCTTAGCCAGGCCATTACTACGTCCAGATGGGCATTTTAGTCCAACTTGGCTGGAGACTGCAATGGGATGGACCCCCACACAAGTTGAGACTACAAACCCCATCATCCTCAGCCAATAGGGATGATGCCTGTAGGCAACTTCCTCCCTCTGGACAGCCCATCTCCCACACAAGTTGGGACTACAAACCCCATAATCCTCAGCCAATATGGATGATGTCCGTAGGCAACTTCCTCCCTCTGGGCAGCCYATCCTCCAGATAYRTTAGACTACMAAYCCCATCATCCTCAGYCAGCATATYCATGAAGGATGATGGGTGTTGYSATMCATATGKATGGGGGCCAGCTTTGGGAAGACCTTAATGATGCCTACAAAGTATTTGATAGCTCAGTGTAGGACGCCGGAGATGGGAAGCGTTGGGATTTGTAGTTCTCCAGATACGTTAGACTCCAATCCCATCATCCTCAGTCATGSATATSCWKGCTRAGGRTGATGGGTGTTGTGATACATATGGATGGKGGCCAGCTTTGGGAAGACCTTAATGATGCCTACAAAGTATTTGATGGCTCAATGTAGGACGCCGGAGATGGGAAGCGTTGAGATTTGTAGTCCTCCAGATACGTTAGACTCCAATCCCATCATCCTCAGTCAGCATATCCATGAAGGGTGATGGGTGTTGTGATACATATGGATGGTGACCATCTTTGGGAAGAATTTTGATACCTACAAAGTATTTGATGGCTCAGTGTAGGACGCCRGAGATGGGAAGCRTTGGGATTCGTAGTATGCCCTGCCTGGGATWTGTAGCACAACCYGCTATCGCCTTGGGCTCTTTGGCAGGCCTTTTGGGGGAATCTCCCTCTTTTGGAAAACTGGACAACAGATGGGAATCAATGTACAAAACTGATCGCGAAGGTCTCTTTCCCCCTCCCGAAAAATCCCATGCTGGACATTTTTGGATTTGAATGTTATTATTTTCCATGTTGGGGAGACGTGTTCTCCATGCAAACCGAGGTGCCTCTGAAGAAGATGCATGCATGCATGTATGCAACCCCAGGCAGGAACCTGGATCATGGCCGGAAGTTGAACATGGCTTGGGTCTTCCTTCTTGCCAAACGGGCCTCTTTCCCAGTGCCTTGCTTTATATGGAACGAGGGACTGGAGGAAGACAAAGGTCCAGCTGTCCAGAGGGCATTACGATGGCTGGACGCTCCAGAGCAATGCTTTGGCCATGGAGATGAATGAAGGATGCTCCTTGTTTGCCTCCCCAATACACAATTTCTATTTTTTTGTTCTCTTCCTGTAATTATTATGCTTTAGTTTGTGACCATTTTTATTCCCTTATTATTATTATTATTATTATTATTATTATTATTATTAGCATTTGGCGTGACTCTAACCCTACTAAGTTTCCTCCCTTTGCTCTGTTTTATACATACGTGTGCGTGTTTTATTTTTTAGACATATATGTTTTAATTTAACGGTTGTTATTTCCATTTCTTTTGGAAAATGTCTCCTTTCAGGCTTCATAGGACGGAGGCCGAGGCAGGAATCGCAAGGGTTTATTTACTCCTTTTTGGAATGGTTCACGTTTTGTTATTAGCCTCGTTAGTTTTTGTTCCCCTTTCCCACCAGACATGCAATGAAAAGGACTCGTTTGCTTAATAATTGTTTTTAGCAATGTGTAACTGCAGAAAATGTGTGCTTTGAGCCAAGATTCTGGAGATCTGGGCAATTAAAGTAGTATCAAACTGTATTCACTAGTATTGTTGAAGGCTTTCATGGCCGGAATCACTCGGTTCTTGTGGGTTTTTTCGGGCTATATGGCCAAGTTCTAGAGGCATTTCTCCTGACGTTTCGCCTGCATCTATGGCAAGCATCCTCAGAGGTGAGGTCTCAGAGGTGACCTCACCTCTGAGGATGCTTGCCATAGATGCAGGCGAAACGTCAGGAGAAATGCCTCTAGAACATGGCTATATAGCCCGAAAAAACCCACAAGAACCGAGTGTATTCACTAGGCTTGGTTGATAAAAAAAATGGTTCAAAATTCGTTTTGGATGTAGAGGACCAAGGTGGTTTGATGTGGAAAAGAATTCTGAATTTTTCTGAATTTTTTTTTGAACTTTTAGAAATTTCAGAAATTTCCAAATCACTTCGCTAATGGTGGATGCGATTGTGCACAGGGACGGCCTTAGGTAATTTTCAAGTGTAAGCAAACAGTATTTTG